TCTGAACATTCAGATTAAGACAGACTAGGAAGAAGGATTGGCCACCCACTTCTGAAATAGCAGGCCTCTGAAAACCCTATGCACAACAGAAAACCTATAGAGACATATCAGCATTATTTTTTGTGCTTCTCAATAAATAAGTAATTTTAAAGTGGTTTTTGGCACTGAAATTTCATATCAATTTGAAAAAGTTTAAAAGAAATATTTACTATTGTCTTATGACAAAGTCTTCAAATTGTATGGGTTTGGGGAATATTTAGTAGTCTTGTATGTTTGTTTTTTAATATCCTATATTGCAAAGTTTAGTTATCTGTTGTTTTTACTTTCATATATAATTTGCATCAAGCCTAAATGTCTAAATACAACCTAGCTTTCTAATCTTTTCCTTTTCTTTTTCCCCCTCCTTTTACTGCATTCCTTCCTGATTCTTTCTTCATGATCTCAAAGGACTACCATCTTGCTTTATTATTCAAGGTATTTCCTTATTTTACAACACATACTGTGTGTGGAATGTAAAAATGATGCATTATTGTACATCTCTGTACATTACCCTTACCATTAAATAGTAAGACAGTTAAATTAGAGCTTAACACTGATTTAAACACTGAAGCTCAAACTTGTCAACCAATGCACACACAAAATATGTATGTGAGCACAGGTTAATGAAAAACTATAACTCTCCCGAAATGAAAACTGCCGCTCTCTTGATTAATTCAACAAGAACCAAAGTATTTTAATGAAATATTTTGTAGACCAATGCACAATTTATGGGAAATGTATAGGCTTGTTAATAAAAATGTCTCATTCAAAAAAATACCTAATAAGACAGTGCCTTAGGATTAGTAGTAACATTATCAGTATGGGACCACTTTGAAAGAGTAACCGTTCTATCTGCCTTATTATAGCCTCTCACACACATAACCACCTGTCTTATAGCTCAGAGTAGAACTGACCCCTAATCACTACCAAAGCTGTCAATTTTTACAGAAGCAGATTGCTACGTCTTTCTCTCACAGAGAAGATGGTAGGTTTAGAGCATCATTTTTAACTAGCAGCCAAGTGCTTTACCAATGCATTACCAAGCTCCTTGGACTTGGAATTGACTTGATAGCAGTGGGTTAATATATAGACTCTGAAAGGACCCTGAGCATGATGGTTAAGCACATACCTTGTAATAGAAAGGTCAGCAGTTCAAATGCACTATCCCTCTTCAGTGAGAAGACACCTAGTAGTCTTCTCCAGTAAAGCTGACAGCCTAAGAAAGCCTGTGGGGCAGTTCTATCCTGAGTCGGAATCATTTCAACAGCACACAACAGGAAGTATATACCCTGTTAATGCTCATTCCCCTATATTCTTTAGACTTCTTGCTCTTTTTAGATTTTGTCAGTTTCCTTCCACAAAATTTCTTTTTCATTTTTCCTATTAAATATAACTAAAGATCTTTAGTTGAGTGAGGCCTCTCAGTGCCTTTGGACCTCTGTATTGTCATTTCTCCACTCCCCTTGGCTCCCATCATCTGACAGAATACACTTGCAGGTCAGTTGATCCAGGAGCTTTAGAGTATAGCCGAGCCCTCCTTTCTCTCCAAGATCTGAGAGTCCTTGGTGCCTGCCCAATGCCTTTCTTCCGGACTGTCTAAGGAGCTTCGCTCGGCTTCTAGGACAGAGGTGTTATACAGACAAACATTAATTCAAGGTATAAGTAATGGATAACAGATAACAGTATCTGAATAACAGTATAAAATAAAAATGAAGGAAGAAAGGAATACACAGAATAAAAAAACAAAATAGAAAGTCCAAAAAAGATTCAGTGATTTCACACGTTTGCTGTTTCTAGGTTTCAGTGCAGTTACGTAGGGGAATGTGTTGTAAGGGCCTAAGTCTCTGATGTTACTACTTGGGTACAAATCCCTAAAGATTTGAAACCTCTTTACTGATAAACCCCTTCTGCTCCTGGCCTAATAATTCTAATCAAAGTTATTCGTCAGATGCCTTAAGAGATGGGAGTCCAGGATGATGACTTTTGCTGCTGCTGCTGGGTGCCTAACCTGTGGCTGTAACCTCATTCTCATCTTTTCCCCACCGCAGGACTCAGGACACCCATGCACCGCAACGGACCCAGACAGCTGCTTCATGCCCGTGTCTCCTCAGCACTTCATTGATCTCTTCAAATTTTAAATGTAGCCCTCTCACTATCTCTTCCTTCCTGTCTCTGTAAAAAGGTTGTGCATTGTGCTTTTTTTGTGTGCAATAGCTGGTAAAATTGTTCTTTGTGATTAAAAGTGAAAACTGGATGGCTGACCATGGAGGCATCCTGAGAAGCCTGTGTGCTAGAAATGCGAAAACCACCCCTCAGCATTTGGAGGGGAGAAACGTGCTGTTGTATATTTTTGATCCTTGAATAGGGTCAGGACACCCAAGCAAAATCATTTTTACCTCCTTCTTTTTCTTGTAAGCATATTATGTAAGCATATTAAAATTTGTAATTTTGCATATTTATAAATATGGTTCAAAAAGCATTTTGACTTTTCAGAATCACTGTTTGTGCTGAACTGACACTACTAGCCAAGAATATGCTTCTTAATTGTCAAATTATACATGCCCAATTTTATACTAATTGGGGAGGGGGGAACAAAACAATTGATCCTTGTAAATATATTACGCAGAATATTTATTTTTCTTAAAATGTATTTTAACAACTGCTTTGGCTGTGTCCAAATGAGTTCTTTTTGAATACAATATGAATATAGGGGAGTATTAGCCATATTCTGTTTGTGTTGTTGACTGGGTTGTGAATTGTGCAAAATGTTTGTAGCCTAGCAAAGATGTGAGTGATGTAGCTGTGCTCCTAGGTGCTCAAAGACAGATGCTGACAGCCAAGGGACCACTGCTTCCGTAGAGATTGCTCTGCACGTACGGCTCAACTGTGCAGAGTGCAGTGGGGGCCAACACTGAAGAAAAGCAACTACTAAGAATTTGCCATGACTGAATCATAAACAGCCCAAATGTATTCTAAACTGTACTTGTATTGAAACTACTTTTCTAGATCAATAAATCATGTTTATCTCTTGAGTTAACTTTGTTTTCTGTCTTACTGAAAACGTAGTGTGGGTGATTTGCCTACTATTTATTTAACCTTCTAAACAACTGTTGTATTTTTAAAATAATCTGTATATTTTAGAAAATCTTGAAAATAAAGGTACATAAGAGAAAATAAATTACCTCTAAGCTTGTCACCCAAACATAGCTTTGTTTGCTGGAAAAGGTATGAAAAAGTTGTCCTTAGCAGCTCTAGGGTAGTATGGTACTGTGTATTTCAGTGTTTTAAGAATCGGGTTAGGAACCTCAAGGTAAATTAATACCTTTTCCAAAAAACTTTTGTAATTGTGCATGTTTTTAAATTTGTGAAAAAAAAATTTAGGTTATCAGAACTGAATTCTGTGCTGAACTTTTACCAATTACTAAGAATATGCATCTTAATTGACAAATTATACTTCATGCCAGATATGTTGATACCATGACTTTCTATGTATATATTTGATTGAGGTTTTTCATAAAACTGTAAACAGTCTATGTGCCATTTTCATTTTCTGATCAACCTGATTTTTTAAGAGCATTTCCCTGTATTCTTGATTATTCTTTGAAAACACCTTTTTTTTGGCAGGGGGAGGGAGCACAGAGCATTGTATCATGCAATGCAACAATATTTTACTATTACAACATCAGTTTTTTTAAAAAAAATTATTACTATAAGTAACTGTGATAAGCATCATTGTACATAATTTTTGTGCATACTATTGTATCCTTCTCAAGATTAGTCACAGTTTATTGTGATCTACACAATCAAATGCCTTTGTGTAGTCAGTGAAACACATATACTTTTCTGGTACCTTCTGCTTTCAGCCAAAATCATTTTGACACTGGCAGTGATGTCGCTAGTTCTGCAGCCTCTTCTCAACCCAGCTTGTACTTCTGGTACTTTTCTTTTGATATGCTGTTCCAGTCATTTCTGGATAATCATCAGTATTTTACTTGCATGTGGTATTAGTGATATGTTGTTGTTGTTGTTAGGTGCCATAGAGTCATAGACGACTCATAGCGACCCTATGAACGAAAGGCCTGAGCACTGTTCGTACATAGAGTTTCTGGAGACAAGCCATTTCAGAAGTGGATGCCGCTCCTGCTTTAGTGTTGTAATTCAGTAATTTTCATACTCTGTCAGATCACCCTTTTTTGGAATGGAAATTAAAAGGGACCTCTTCCAGTCAGCTGGCCAGGTAGCTGTCATCCAGATTTCTTGGCACAACCTTATGAGCATGTACAGGGCAGAATCTGTTTGCTGTAATATGTAAATTGGTATTCTACCAATTCCTGGAGACTTGTTTTTTGCCAATTCCTTCAAAGCAGATTGTACTTCCTCTTTCATCACCATTGTCTCTTGGTCATATGCTGTTTCATAAAATTCTTCTGTGTCAGCCCATTCTTTTTGGTATAGTAGCTCTGTGTAATCCTTCTACCTTCTTTTGATGGATCCTAGATTATTCTATATTCTTTCCATAGCATTTTTAAGTATTGCAACTCAAAGCTTAATACTGTTCTTCAGTTCCTTCAACTTAAGAAATGTCAAAACACAATAATCCCTTTTGACTTCCTGACTCCAGCTCTTTGCACATTTCATGATTTATATGTATTTGTGTGTGTGTGTGTGTGTGTGTGTGTGTGTATTTTGCTTTGTCTTGCAGAATTGCTCTTTGAAATCTTCTGCCCAGCTCCTTAACTTTGTGATTTTTGTCCTTTGCTTTGGCTTCTCAGCACTCTAGTGCAATATTCAGTCTCTTCTGACATCCAATTTAGTCTTTTCTTCCTCCTCTGTCTTTGTAATAACTTTTTGCATTCTTCTTGGATGATATTTTTTATATCCTCCCACAACTCATCTTGTCTTTGTTCATTAATGTACAGGGCCTCAAACCTGTTCTTGCGATGGTTTTTCAATTCAGGTGGCATAGACAAAGTCAAATTTTGGTTCTTGTGGATTTGATTTTGTTCTTGTAGATTTGATTTCATTTTCTTTAGCTTCAATTTGAACTTGCATATGAGTAGTTGATGGTCTGTTCCACAATCAGCAATTACTTTCTCTGCATCAGAGAGCTGAACAATGAATATGAATGACAGAAGAAAAAAATAATGCCTTTTAGATGTGGTGCTGGAGAAGAGGATAGAATATATGATGGACTGCAGAGAGAACAAACAGGAATGTTTTGGAGAGGGAGAAACCAACTTCCTCTCTGGAGCCAAGGATTTTGAAGCTCTATTCCACATATTTTGGGCATGTTTCAAGGAGGGCTAGTCCTTAAAGAAGGACATCATGCTTGGAAGGATGGAAGGACAGTGGAGGCGAGGAAGATCCTGGATGAGATGGTTTGACACAGTGACTGGGGTAATAGATACAGTTGTGTTTGAGACAGTGAGATTGGCTCAGGATAGAGCAAGAGTACATAGCTATTGTGCATAGAGTCGCTATGATTCACAGGTAACTCGCAGGCACTTAACGATTGTATCCTTAGGAAAACTACTAGAAGTAGGATACAAGATAATGAGTCAAACATTTTTTTAAGACCTTAAAAATGTTTCCAGATTTCTCATAATACTAAATTGTTATAATCTTTCAAAGTGTGGAAGTATAGAGTGCTCATTATTCTTAAGGCATAAATACCATTGGTTATTAAAATTTCTTTTTCTCTATTTTTATTAAGAATGCTGTATGTGGTACATTGTAAAGTTAAGAATATCTTTTGTATATTTATTTAGGCATTTTTTTTTCTAAATTACTTCTTGTATGTTCACTGTCGATTTTTGCTTAGAAGCACTGGTCTTTTTCATGTTTATTTTTCCTAAATAGATTCAAACCTTTTGGAGTTTCAGGTCTTTTCTCCATTTCATCATAAATATTCTAATGCTGTGTTACTATTTTGCTGTGGCATAGAATCAGACATACATGCCTTTAACAAATAAATTGATTAATACCTGCTCAAGGAAAAAATAAATAATAGTATAGGAAGAAAATTTCAGCAATTACTCCATCAGCATGTTTCCATAGGTAGTGGATGCCACGTTAACAAAACTTTTGAAAGGTATGCATGAGGAGTGATTAATGGTTTCCCAACCATGAACAAAAGTATAAGGATTCAGTCAAATGAGAGATGAGTAAATTCTGGGCATAGACAAATACAGAATAAGGAGTATTTTTATAAAACCAAAATAAACAAACTGGCCAATTCTCTTCTCCCACCACAAAAGAAGGAAAGAAAAAAAAACATACTGCTATGGATCAAGGTTTGTGAAGCTGTTAATCTTTACAGGTGGAGTCTGCCTGTCTTTCTTTTGAGGAGCAGCAGGTGAATCTAAACTGTTGGCCATTGAGTTAGGACCCCAGCTATGTTACCAGGACTTCTTTTGTGTGTTTTTTTAACTACTTTGAATACTTTTTTCCATTTAGAGCTTAGTAACTACTTAGCTTCACATTAATTTGTTGAAAAGGATAACCAAATGGTCCACTTCAGTAGCTAACGTCATGATAAATCAAGTCACTAGAAATGGTTGTTATTGTTGTTATTTTGTGTCAAGTGACCTACAACTCACAGCAACCCTATGTACAAGTACAACAGCCCTGGACCCTGCTCTATCTGAGCCTGTCTTACTGTCTCCAATATACCCACCCCTCCTTACCCAAGTCACTGAATCAATCCATCTCATCAAGGGTTTTCCTCTCTTGCTCTGTCCCTCCACCCTCCCAAGCATAATGTCCCTCTTCAAGGACTCGTCCCTCCTTGCAGCATGCCCAAAGTGTGTCAGCTGAAGCTTCACAATCTTTGCCACCAAGGAGCAGCCTCTCTAAGGCGAACCTGTTTGTTCTCCTAGCAGTCCATCGTATATTCAATATTCTTCTCCAGCACCACAGCTCAAAGGCATCAATTCTCCTTCTGTCATCCCTAGTCACTGGCCAGCTTTCTGATGCATATTTATAAGGTTAATATAAAACATTAACTATGTTAGTAGATATGGGTCTTACTTGCAATATACCATACTACTCAGCTGTATTAAAGAATGAGATCCTTGGGTGATAAGGAAAAGAGAAGCTGAATCATGAATTATCATGAAGACTGGAGGTAAGATTACAC